GACCTCCTAGTAGTGCAATTGGTGAATTTCTGAGTAGGCTGGAGATGTTGCTCTCTCTCTTGCATGGTTCAGACATTTTATTGGCGGGAGATCTTAATATAGATTACTTAGATAATAATTCATTGCAGACACAAAATTTAAACGATTTGCTTTTGTCTTTAAACTTTAAAATGTTGATCAAAAAACCTACCCGTATTACTGAAGGTTCAAGTACCATAATTGATTATTTTTGTGTAAATTTTTGGGACAAGCACCTCTGTGAGGCAATGGTTGTACCTTCGGGATTATCGGATCATGAAGCAATTTTAGCAAACATAACTTTAAGGACAAGAAAAACTAAAAACATTAGAATTTATAACAGGTCCAATTTTAATAAATTTAGAAGGGATTGTCAAAGAATAGATTGGAATAAAATAGAGGCATTGTCAGACCCACTTGATATTTTTAGCATGGAAATAACTAACTTATTCAACAAACATTTCCCATTAAAAACAATAAAACAAAAAAGTAAAAAACCTTGGGTTACCAAGGGCATAAAAACCTCATCTAGGAACTTAAAAGATTTTTGAACACTCTTAAAAAAAACTTCCCTACAGACTTTCTGAAAAATTATTATAATGAATATAGAAGAGTATACAGGAAAGTGATACAAAGAGCTAAAAAAAATTTTTACGCCAACAAAATTAATAATGCGAAGAGCAAGAGTAAAGAAATTTGGAATATTGTTAACAGTTTGAGAGGCAGTAATGTAAAGCCTGCTTTTGAGACTGAAATAGATTCTAACACATTTAATGATTTCTATTGCTCAGTGGCAGAAAACTTAATGTCTGGGCTGCCATCGGATATAGATCCTATGAGCTATCTAAGGAATGTTTCTGTTCCAAATTCTTTTGGCTTCTATCACACGGATGTTGGTGAGATAAAAACTATATTTCGGCAAATAAGAAACAAAAATTCATCGGGGATAGATGACCTGTCATTAAGGATATTTAGCAACTTGCCCGACTGTGTGCTGGAGTTGCTTGCTAGGTTTACAAATTTATCTTTTGATATGGGTACCTTTCCCGAGAGTCTGAAGACCGCTCTAGTAAGACCAATTTTCAAGGACGGTAGCACCGACGATCCATCATGTTACCGCCCTATATCTCTGCTGCCAACACTCTCCAAGATGATAGAAAAACTTGTTAAGTCTAGGATAGTCTCTTTTCTTCGGGCTCACGGGTTGCTGAATGTCAACCAGTTTGGATTTCAGGACAAGAAGAACACTAGTGATGCAGTGTTCAACTTTCTTCAGAGGCTGTATCTTGGACTGAATCAGGGGGAGATCGCGGCTGCGGTCTTTTGCGGTTTTTCCAAAGCTTTCGATTGTGTAAGCCGTAAGATATTACTCCAGAAACTCTTTCATTATGGATTCAGGGGTAACACTTTGAGCTGGATACAGTCTTATCTGACAGACAGAAAACAGATTGTTAAGGGCCACAACGATGTATCATCGGTACGGAGTATTGAGCATGGGGTGCCCCAAGGATCAGTGCTTGGTCCCCTGCACTTTTTAATTTACATTAATGATCTAGCTTGCATCAACATTGGTGCATCAATTACACTATTTGCTGATGATACTACCATCTTATGGCTGGGATCAGACAAAGTCACCTTGGAGGATAGGATCGGGCAAGATATTCGCAAGGTAAAGCAGTGGTGTGACTCAAATAAACTATCTTTTAACATATCAAAAACAAATTTACTTTCCTTTACGTGTTCTGTGGCAAATATAAGTTTAAATGATGAGCCACTTGCTAATAAGGAGTGTTCCAGGTTCTTGGGCTTATCTATAGACTAAGTTGAAGTTTGGTGAACATATCAATGACCACCTGCGAAAAAAACTAGCTCCAGCTTGTTATGCGTTAAGGACGGTTCGTAATGAATTGGGTCATGACATTGCAAGGGGTGTGTACTTTGCACTTGTTGCTTGTTGAGTCACGACTCAGATATGGCATTGAATTTTGGGGTTTTGCCAGTGGTCAACTAGTTAATTCAGTTTTTGTTTTACAGAAACGGGCTGTTCGTCTATTGTGTGGAGTCGGCTCTAGGGAACACTGCCAGCCTCTGTTTATCCGGGAGGGAATTCTTACATTGACCTGTATTTTTATTTTACTGACGGTGGGCATGGTTCACAAAAAATATAGAGGATCAGATAATAATAATGACACCAGGACAACTAGGTTCAACAGCAACAATCTAAGTCTGTGCATCCCAAGGAGTACATTAACAAAAAACTCAATAATATATGAGGGGAAAAAGATGTATAACCACCTGCCTCTTGAGATCAAATATCTAGACAATAGTGTCCTTTTTGCTAGAAAGGTGAAACAGCTTCTGCTTTCAAAAGCATATTATTCTCTGAAAGAATTTTATGGCGATAGGCTCTAGCTTTAATGATTGTATGAATTATGACGTCTAAACTGCAACTTAAAAAGTGTTTCAGTCTTTATTTTTGTTTGTTCGCTTTTTTATTTTTTATTTGTATGATGTGCCATATATAAGGACTTGACTGGATTTGTGAATGACATTTTAAGTAGCAGTTTTTGATGTTTTTATCTTGATTGTCTTCATTAGTTCTTAGTATTTTAACATGTAACATTACTTTTCAGTGTCTCCTTATAATGTTTTTGTATTATTTCCATTTTAGCTTTGTAAATAAGGGTCTTATGGCCTTTTTGTACAATAAAGCATTTTTTGATTTCATTTGATTTGATTTAAACTCGCCTTTAGTAGTTGTCTACTTTCATTCTACCTTCGCAGGTTTAACTTTGACATTTGTCAAATCACCAAAAATAGTTGTGTTATAGATTCATAACCTAGTCTATAACACCACTAATTAGGCATGAGGCTGTGGCATTCCAGGTTAATGTCAGAACCGATCCGCCATATTAGTTTGGGGGGCACACAAAAGCCAAACATAACCTGATTTACAGTGGCTAAATAAACCTTTACATACAGTGGCGACAATAGAGGTCCCGCCGCCATCTTGTTCCCAACCTCTTGTTACTTTTAAATATTAATATATAGGATTTGAATGGACATCTATCATAAAAAATTGAAATCGACGTATTTGATAACCATTATTAGGTCCATCAAATACGTTGTTTTCCATGATTTATGATGGATGTTCACCTAAATCCCATATATTCATATTTAAAAGTAACGAGAGGTTGGGAACAAGATGGCGGCGTTTTCAATATAAATATATGGGATTTTAGAACCAATCAAAAATAAGACAGTAATTGTCGCCACTGTGGTAATAGAGTCACTGTAACCTGATTCAATGTTAAACCAAGAATTTTCAATCTATTTTGTGAAGATGCCTTCTATTTGCTGCGTTGTTAGGTGCTCTAGTAGAGCGGAAAGAGATAAAGAAAGGTTTTTCAGGATCCCAGCAGCATTAAGAGATCTAGGGAATCGTCTAAACGAGCTAAAAAAGGAACGACGAAATCTGTGGATTAAATGCCTCAAAAGGAGAGATTTAACTGAATCGTTTCTGAAAAATGCTCGTATTTGTTCAAAACATTTTGTTAATGGTAAGTATTATGACTGTCTTGTTAAAATACAAAAACACATTTATATTGAAAAATTGTTTGTTTCTACAAGTAATATTTACTTTTAATACCTTTTAGGTAGTCCAGCAGAACTTGAATAACCCTTTATATACGCCTTCAACTGCAAGCCTGTGTAGTAACTGTGGGTGTGGGTCAAATATTCGGATAAATCCAAAATTGAAACCTCTGGCAACTCATTGATACTTAAAGTAAACTCATTAGGTAGAAGTTTATAAGGATCTATATTGGCAATTATTTGTATTTTTTGGTCATACCGACATTTCACATCACTAGCTAACGATGAATAATAGTCAATGTTAGCCATTCTACCACAAAAACAACTTAAAACTTATTGAGAGAATTTAAGAACGCAAAAATTCGGAAACACAATCTCAAAGAACGGTGTAAATACTGATCTAGGCTTTGTTTGCCCCCCAGCGGACCTGTCAAAAGTCACGTGACCTGGAATGCCTAATTGTGTTATGAATTCATAACCTAGTCCATAACACCACTAGTTGTGTTATGAGTTTCATAACATAACTCAAATACTAGAAAAATGGTTATGTAAAAACGTCATAACCAAACGCTTGTAGATAAAAAAAACATTATAAGTTAATGAGAAGGACATACAGGAACACTTATCAACATTCATATTAAATCCATTTCTATCACACCAGACAGCAACACAATCCAAGTCACGCTGAATACTATCACAGTCATCTTGAGACATAACGCTTGCATACAGCAACATTTTGGACACTTTAACCACATCAACAATACCATTTATTGCTACCAAGAAAAGTAGAGGTCCCAGATTAGAACCTTGGGGAATGACTGATGTACTTTCATAGACTACAGACTTACATTCTTTTGCCTAACCTTATCAAATGCCTTTTCCATGCAATGATAAGTAAATAGGAAAAAGGATAAAATATAAATGATTAAAATGCGCATGAATTGCAAAATCAATCAGATAACAAATAATGAGCAATAAAAGACCTTGAAATATTTTGAGATAAGAACAAGGAACAACTAAATTTAAAGATGAGTTTTTGATTAATTGCCTTCAAGTTTTTTTTTTAGGGAAAATTTATTGAAATTAAAATATAAATTAAAAATACATAATTATAAATAGAATCTCATTTACATTTTTCTGGTCTTGAGGAGTTCTCTGACCTCAAACTCGAACAATACAATTATTGTATTTATAAAATTAAACTCAAAACAGTTTATAATTACACACTACTAAAATAATTGAAATACTTAACAGTAAACAAAAACGCAATATAAATAAAGTGAAAATCGACAACAAACAATCTGGGTTTGTTTACGTGCCACACCTGGATTTGCTTGACTATTATCAACAAAATAATTAATTAACAAAGAAATAATTAAGAAAATTACCTGCATTCTTCAAATTAGATCCACTTTAAAGCTGAAGAAACAGCAAAAATAAACAAATAAACAAATTGATGACTTTCACAGGCAGGACAGGAGGAAATTTTGACGTTTGTCTCACTGATTAAAATATAAAAGTGAGGCTAGAATAGAAATGTGTGACGTTAAATGGGAGAGTTTTAACGTTAATTTACGTTAAATTTTTATCTACGACGTAAATTCAAGAGAATAAAAAATTTCTAAGAGCGCGTCATTCGAAACTAACTAACGTATGCGGATGTTCGAAGATCACAATTGGTTTAACTATACACAAGATAATTAATAAGTGTAAGTAATCACAAAACTTAAATTATAAATATTTAACTTATTATCGACTCCGTTTTATAGCGCGTTGTTGCTTGTGACATTGCTCAGATAATTCGCGGCTAATATAAGGATTTATTAATTTCTGGTGTTTCGAAATGTAGTACCTATCTACTTCGTTTTAAAGTAAATACTATGGCTTATGGATTATGGGGAATATACTAAAGTCTTTTTTTTTTTTTTTAAAGATCAATTCCACAAGTCAAAAATTTAGTAACTATGTCGGCAAATTATAAAGGGAGTGAAGAGTGAACCCTACGCCTACCGGTAGGTAGGGATGCGCACGATGTATCGATGTTTCAAAAACATCGATTTTCTTATTTCGATGTTCGATGTTTTTTCATTCGATATTATTAGAGAATATCGATATTTCTTTGCGATGTTTTTTCGATGTTTTCTTCTAAATACTACTACACCAGTACTTTCGGTCCGTTAGCAAAATTTGATGAAAATCTATTTGTTGAACATTGGGAAGAAATAAAGAGTGTATATCTGCGACTATCAAAGATAGCTTCAAAATACTTGAGCGTTGTAGCAGCTTCGGTTCCATATGGAAGACTATTTTCAAATGCAGGACAAATTTTGACACAACACAAGAGTTATATGGAAAAGGAAAAAAATAGTCAAAATCGCTGTTCTTAGATAATAGTTGTGATTCAAATATTATTGTTACTCGTATTCATATAATTTAAGTCAAGTAGGTATCTAACTAGAGTTACTCCCCAGTGTTGCCAGATCTCACGATTATTCGTAAGATTACACGATTTCGGTCAGAATTTCACGATCTCACGAATGAGGTAGCAATTCTTACGAATTCTTTCTGAAGTAATACAAATCGGTAATTAAATCTAATGTTCAATCGAAATAAAAATCTACTATACAATATTTAGTTATGTTACGTCGTTCCTGGTACATGCGCGTTCAAGAAAACTTGACCTAATAGAACTGCTTTTTGAGCTGAAAGTTCTTAAATGGTAGAATCACCTTTTCTAAATTTAAAATCGACGAAAAAAACAACTCGCAAGCACATGCACAGCCTGAATCGCAAGTAATCCATCGAGGTCTGCGGGTGACGCCAACACTATCATTTACTAATAGTGGTGACGTCACGCGCAGACCTGCTGCCGACTCGGGAATTAGCGAACGTACGCCTTATGAGCAATGCTGCGGATAGTGAATGTGAAAGCGAGGATCAGCTTCCAGACACACCTGCTAAAAAACAAAAAAATACAAGGATACAAGATATTTCATATTAAAATTAAAATGTTTATTTCTTATGAATGTAAAATCATGTTTACTTTATCAAAAATCTATAAAAGAAAATTATTGTGCTTCATTTTCTCATAACATTAGGACATTTTTAGTCTCACGATTTCTCACGATTTTTCTTTCTCGATTCTCACGATTTTTTTTAATTTCATCTGGCAACGCTGTTTCTCCCTAGTGCTTAGTTCTTGCTATTGTTTGCTTTCAAATATACTTTTTTTCGATATAAATCGTATTTTTATTACGTGTATGTATATTATATTGACTATTTCACTAGATAGTCCAAGCAATGAAGGAAGTTTACCTCAACATAATTAGAAGTTAACATTTTTTGGGGGGGATCGGTTCATTTTCATGTGCTTAATAACATATTAAGTTTGCGACCTTGTACTTCCATAGGGTTTTCAGTTAGGGGTGGTTTTTAGGGTTAATTTGCAGTTTATGGAGAACGCTGCTCAAAAGGATGGTCCAATAGCAAAAAGTTTCAAATTATTATTGTAGCTGAAGCTTTTTGCTATAAAAAACTCAGCGACAGCACCCCTCTATCTTCTATAGTTTTTTTTCTGCAGCGTCTTGAATAGCAGCATGTTTTTGTTCAAGGTCACTGAATCAACGTTTTGCCATTTTGCGCGCATTTGTTGCAGCAGCGGCCGAATGCATAATCCGATTTCAATTTTTCAAACACCACATTATTTCTAATGAAATGCACTCTCCAATGCTTTTTTGTTCGAATTTTTTGCTTGAAAATTAAGCGAGCACGGACTTGTCTAATGTGCGAGGAAGTTGTAAATTGCATCGAAAACTACCCCTTTCTTGCATTCACTCTAATTGCTAAGCGGGGCCAAATATTTGGTGACAGTTTTCGACAATCGGCAGCCAATTTAATCCTCTCATAATGCCCCAGCGGATTTTTTTTTCGTTAATCACTTAATGACTTATTGGCCTGAAAACGTCGCGCGCGATTTTTCAAAAAGTAAAAAAAAATTAAAATTGTCGCATAGCGCTGAAATTTGGTACGATGGCTTTATTTATTGTTCTCATGATTATACTGCAATTTTATATTATGTGAAGCAATTAAAATTGCAGTATATTCGTAAGAACAATAAATAAGGCCATCGTACCAAATTTCTGCGCTATGCGACAATTTTAATTATTTTTTACTTTTTGAAAAATCCCGCGCGACGTTTTCAGGCCAATAAGTCATTAAGTGATTAACGAAAAAAAAAATCCGCTGGGGCATTATGAGAGGAATAAATGGGCTGCCGATTGTCGAAAACTGTCACCAAATATTTGGCCCCGTTTAGAAATTAGAGTGAATGCAAGAAAGGGGTAGTTTTCGATGCAATTTACAACTTCCTCGCACATTAGACAAGTCCGTGCTCGCTTAATTTTCAAGCAAAAAATTCGAACAAAAAAGCATTGGAGAGTGCATTTCATTAGAAATAATGTCGTGTTTGAAAAATTGAAATCGGATTATGCATTCGGCCGCTGCTGCAACAAATGCGCGTAAAATGGCAAAACGTTGATTCAGTGACCTTGAACAAAAACATGCTACTATTCAAGAAGCTGCAGAAAAAAAACTATAGAAGATAGAGGGGTGCTGTCGCTGAGTTTTTTATAGCAAAAAACTTCAGCTACAACATTCATTTGAAACTTTTTACTATTGAACCATCCCTTTGAGCAGCGTTCTCCATAAACCGCAAATTACCCCTAAAAACCACCCCTAACTGAAAACCCTATGGAAGTACAAGGTCGCAAACTTAATATGTTGTTTAGCATATTAAAATGAACCGATCCCTTCAAAAAATGTTCAACTTCTAATTATGTTGAGGTAACCCCTCTTTTCAGATCTCCGTTTCTTGGACTAAGAGTGTATTACACCAGCAATAAATTCGGTATTCACCTGACAATAACGCTACCTGGACAATACGAACAACATGGTATTTCAGCGACCATCTTTTGACATTGTCAAACTGGTATTTTTAATTTGAAGTTTTTATTCATAATTTTGCATTCTATTTATTTCAAAATCTTACGTGAAGTGAAATAGTCATGACGAATACCACTCGAGAAAAAATTGTGTAGGCAAAATTGGGTGACTGCGCTAGTTTGCCGACCACTACTAGTTCTCGACCACATTCACCTTTAATCAGGAATAAATAGTAAATATGCACTCGTTTTTGTCCAATAAATGCTGAAATGGCTGCCAGACAGTTTTCCCAACCTAAAATACCATTGAGATTTGATCAGAGGCGACGCCAGGGGGGGGGCCAGGGGGGGCCGAGGCCCCCCCCTGAAATTTAGCTGCCCCCCCCCTGAAAACTTGCCCTCATGTCGACAACAATGCAATGCAACATGCGTAACCTCTGCTCTCTGGTTAATTTGATATTTGGTGGGCGCCAGGCAACCACGACTATGCTTTCGCTTTCCTGGGATTCCCCCAAACATATTTGGGTCGACAGGTACAGGGTTTTCCTGTGTATTTTTGGCACCTCACCTGAAAGGCCGGTTTCTCAATAGCAAGCAAGTCACCCCCAGGTCAGAGCAGTTAACCATAACTGCAGGGTAAACATTGCAATTGGACACGTTTACCCTGGACTAGCTATCGAGAAACCGACCCTGAAAGGTTAATTGAATAGGTATTGTAGGGAAGGCCGGCGATGTTAGTTTACAAAATAAAAGAAGTTGCGATTCTATTTTAATTAACTTTTATTGGAAAAACTGGCGATTAACGGTTTGTTTCGTGGCACGTGGTTGTTGTTCTTCTTGATTCTAGAAAAAACCTGGTCTGTGTCAAAAGTCAGAAATGTCATTCATAAATGACATTTCTATTACGTCACAGGACAGGGTTGCTACCTTTATGGTTGCTACATAACCTAATGAATGCTTCAATATGGCGCACAGATAGGATAAACACTATGAAAGTAAGGAAATTGCTAAATTGCTTACAACTCGGTCGTCCTGACCCTCAAAGCGTCCTCGCTTTGGTAAAGAAATGAGTGTATGCACAATACTAACAAAGATTGCAAAGTACAAAATAATATGAAAAGATATATACATAAAAAAAATAACATAAGACTAAGACATAAGAATATTACATAAAAATGTGATGTAAGAATATTACATATTAAGCTAACATAATGCATAATATAAATTTACAACATAAGGTTTTTTTTTTTTTTTTTTTAGATAAGTTCATAATTATACATAAATTCATAATCAAGTATACATAAATTCCTGAATGGACATAAAATCATAACTGGTCATAAGGTCATAAGTTCATAAATACATAAGGCATAATCATCATAATAGTTTCATAAGACATAAACATAAGGTTTTAATTTCAAAAATATCATACTACCATAATACACATAAATTATTTCATCATAATAATAACAGAAAGAAGGAAGGCATAAAAAAAACAATAGTAGAAATATTAAGTATCGAACATCATAATATTTTATTCTGGAGATTTCGCCCAAAGGCGAATATGATCAGCACT